GTGCTTAGTTACAGCTGACAACCCAGAATTCTTAACCCTTTAAAAGTGGGAGAAAAAAACTTCTCAGTTCACAGTTGCTATACTGCACATGATTTTATAGAATTCTTTTCCATGGCTCACCTTGGCTTTTTGCTCACAAGTCACATGGGCAAGTCTTTCCTCGTAAGGGGGCTGCTCTGTCTCCTCCTGCCCCCCATCATTTGGGTTGCTCTTCTGCACTTTTCAAGGGGTGATAATTTCCACCCTTTCTGGAGCTTCACTGAGATCTGAGTCTGCCAGTCTGGGGGCATGCTCATATAATCTAGTCTACATTAATATAGTGCTAGTTAATATAACGAGCAGGAAAATGCTGGCTGACCCATAAGGTCAGCTAGATTTCAGGGTTTGTACTTCTTTCCTTGGACTTGGAGGGAGGGGAGAAGTAAAATGGAGAAAAACTTTTTCTGCTTCCTGGGGCATCTGCAGGGTCAAAAAAGTCAAGATGGTGGCCAGAACCATGCAATTGAAGCCTTATCCCTTTTTCACATCCGTGATGCATGTAAAAAAGGCGGGGCTTTGATTGTATGGTTGTGGCTACCATTTTGACTTTTTTGATGATGTACAAAAGTGTGTGGCTTCAATTGTGGAGATGGGGGTGCCATCTTGACTTTTTGCCTCCCTCTCTGCAGATACCCCTGCCTTTCTGGCTTGAGCACTCAGCAGAGGAGACCCACTGCTCTCTTTGCTTTCCCACCCCCAAATTGGACTTTGAGCACATGGCACAAGACACATCACCCTGTTATCTTCTGCTCAAGCTCTGCCCACTGACCTCCTTTGGCACCAACCCTCCAGGTATCTGTTGCCTTTTGGATGATACTAAACTCTGATGTCCACCAGCTGATGTAGGCACTTTGGTCCAATAACGCCTAGGACTGTGAGTGTCCCTGTTTTGTTTTGTTTGCAAACATCTTGTTTACAGCAGTACTTAGGAAAGCAGGGTCCGTACCCCGTTTAATGGCTGTCCTGCAAAGGGTGGTTTGCTGTGGAACGTTGTGCCTTTTTAACTCTTATGGGGGGCTTTTAAAATTCACAGTGTGTGTCCTAAGGAGCCTCTCCGATCCAAGAGTGCAGCCGCTGTGGGTCCAGCCACTGCGTGTTCTGCCCGAAAAGCATTCTCTGGCGGTTGGGTTTACACAGCACACTTAGCCGGGCCAGTGAAAGACCTAGCAACTGCTGTTGTGGTTTTAGTGAGTTGCGCAAACCTAAGCTGTTTGAACAACTTCTGATTTATGGTATAAATCTATGAAATGGTTTATCCAATAGTAAAAATCTATTGTGTAACAGTGCTGGAAGCAGAGACCCTGGTGTGATTTTGTAAAGTAGTGGTAAAATCTACCTGTTCCACCCTGCTGGCTGCCTGGGCAGGCAGTGCTATTTTGGGTTGCCACATGTAGGACCCAGCTTTGCAAACACGGCAGTGATCCATGGGAAGGAATCTTGGATCCCAAATGGAATCTTTTGCAGTTTCACTTGGGGAGACGGAAATGTGCCCATCTGAGCTCTGAAGGCAAGAGGATCTATCAGTACGCATCCAGCCTGGAACTGGAACTTTTATTTCAAGTGTCCTTAAAAGGAAGTGTGCACTTTGGCCACCAACAGCTGCACAGGAAATCACTGGGCTTTGCAAAATATGGCCATGCTGAAGAAAAGGAGGAATGGAAGTGAGACCACTAAGTGCTTCCTAAGTAAGGAATGACGGGTTATTTCATTCATGTGTCTAAAAACAATTTGGGCTTTTGATGCTTGTCAGAGCAGTAAAATTTTCATCTCTCTCTCTCTCTCTCACACACACACACACACACACACACACACACACAGTGCCTTGGGGAGCACTGGGTTGAGGAAGGCTAAATGACACAAAAATGTCTGTTCATAACATGAGAATGTTCCTTTGCTTTTCAGCCTGTTTTTCTCCGATCTCTGTCTAGGGCATGACTGACTCATCTGCGGTCTCTCGGAGAGGCCAGCGGGGCAGGAGAACAGGCCAGACCTGCTCAGTGACCACCAAGGTAGAATCCCGGAGTTGGAAGGGTCCCTTGAGACCACCTAGCCCACCTCCTGCTCAGTGCAAAAATCCAGATAAACTTGCAGACTGGAGGGTCTCCAGCCTCTGCTTCACCTCCAGGGAAGGGGAGCCCACTACCTCTTGGGGTCTTTGGTTCCTCTGATAAACTGCTCCTCCTGCTGGGAGAAACTTCCTAACATTCAGCCAGGATCCCCCTTCCTGTAATTTAAAAATTCTGTGTCCTGCATCCTGTGTTGAGGGAGAGGGAGCTGCTCTCGTCCTCCTCCTGGGAGACTTTCAAGTGCTGAAAGGGGCTTCCGGCTCCAGACCTCTTTCATCATCGCTCTTAATTTCCAGTCGACCTTCTCTGTACCTGTTCTCTTCTTTATTTAAGTACGGGATTTATTTATATTAAACTTCAGTAATATTACAATTAACGTGTATTCAAAAATTACAACTATATATCACAGTACTCTTATACAAAAAGCTGTACTTTAAAAATGAAACCTTACTATACCAGATAAGCCATATACTAACAAGAGAACCCCCCCCACAAGACTACCTAAAGGAGAAAACAAACCAAAGAGACCCCCACCTCCCAGAAATCTCTTCCAATTTCTCTAAATCTTTGCTAAAGTGAGGTATCTGGAACTGAAGACAGGACTCAAAGTGATTTGGAGACTGTTTGAAACTTCTCCCAGTGCAGCACCCCTTACTGTGCTCCAGGCTCAAACCAAGGAGGCCTCCCCAGCCCCCCCCCCCAATGAGCCAAAGAAAGGGAAGTAAGGAAGGGTCCTGCCAGAGGAGGAAAGAGATGGCTCAAGAGTGGCATGGCCAAACCTACCTCTCCCAAGTGTCCCCTGTGTAGCCCAGTGAAAAGGGGGGGGGGGTTGGGGCAGCACTTGAGTTTGGAAGAAAAATCAGTTCAAGAAATTATCTCCTGCTCAGAGCTGAGCTTTGTGGTGAATTCCTAATTCAGGGTTCCAATTGCACAAGGCTTCTACTTGTTTTCCACGTTTTTCTCCACAGGAATTTGCAATTTGGGGACAAATACCAAAGCTTTTCAGCAAAAAAACAAAACAAAAAACAAAAAGCACAAGTGTTTTAAAAACTAGAAGCTGCGTTTGTCTTCTGGTAAGCAGAAGTTATCCCCAAGTGGCTTTCTGCAAGCCTTGAAGCAGCACAGCGAGTTTTTGCCCAGTGAAGAGTCCTGCATTACTTACAGGCTTGCAGACTTCCCAAAGAAACTCAGTTCAACAGGCAGGCAAAACTCCTTGGAAGGTGTTTTTTTGTTTTAAGTCAGCAAAGAGTCTTGTAGCACTTCAAAGGCTGACACTTTGATTATTTTTGTGGCTCTGTCTCTCAAAATCTCAAATGTTTTATGAGTGTAAAAAGTGCAAATATGCTGTAACATTTGGGTTACAGAGCCAGGAAAAAACTGCTGTGGCTTCACATCTGCACTTGGGGTACAAAGCATGTGCCTTGTGGGGGCCAATGGGGGGACTTCTTTGTATTTTTAGTGTGTCGGGTGGGGGAAGGGATGGAAAGGATGCTTTAAGCCCCCAGATACTAAGGGCACCCTTGTTATCCCTAAATTGTCCTGACCCCACCCCTGAGGCCTGGAGCCTCAGTGGGCACCCAATGCCTGGTGCTGTGCCCTCTGCTTCCTGCTGCTGGCTGCGTCCCTGCAGCTCTGCCTGCTCCTCCCTCCGTAAGGCAGAGAGCAGGGGCCCTGGCAGGCGTGCCCCTCCCAACTCCCAGCCCCCTCATTAAATGGGGCCTTTGTGGGATCTTTCAGCTTAAGCTACCTTAGTAGTTGATTTTGGCTGAAAACTGGAAGGGCGGTACAACAAATTAGCTAATGCTGTAACTTAAAATGCCCAAAACTGGTAACAATGAAGCCACTGGCTTCCATTGGGAAGTCCTATTTCAGGGTCGGGGATCCAGGGAGGCAGACATTCCCCCCAAAACTTTTCTTTGCTGGATCCCAGAGCACATCCTCCCCCCCCCCCACCTACCATCACACTATTGTACAGAACGGTAGGAAGG